CAATTAATTACAAAATCATAAAAAAAAACACTGTTCAGTCAAACAGACACTATCAATTTGTTTCCAAATGTAACTCCGTTACCAGACTTCTCTTAATTATTTATAGTTCGGGCACTTCCCTTTTACCAGTTTCTACAAACTTTAAAGCGTTGGAGTTCTGGCGTGTGAGGGCTCGCAAGACCGTGGTGGGCACAACTCACAGGACTCGGCCAGCTACGCCTCAGTAAATACTCTACATCCGTCTACAGCACCTCAGTGGTAGACTCCTTCTCCAGGCGGTGTTAGAGTCGACAGGGGAATACTCTCAACAAAAAGGCCATAAATATAAATCCAAAACCTTCCTAGTTCTCAAATATCTACATAGATTATGATCTAGTTTGTCATATCGTCAAATTCAATTTTCACAATTGCATATCATCAAAATTCTCACTGCTAAATAGTTAACTCCAGTCTCCTCGAAATTGTTCAATCAGAATCGTTATTTCACAATGAACTTAATAATTCTTATCACTAATCTTTAAGGCTGTAACTCAGTTCATGACATACTTGAACTTAGATATAATAGGCAGGAAAATCACAAATTTAATCTACTTACGGTAATTTGCTGTGCAGCTTTCTTGGGGAGGCGAACTGTTGCCAGGAAATGTCAAAGACGACCGGGACAGTTTTACGGCTGGACTTTGGCCTGAATTTACCAAATTCTAGATACGGAACTGAATTTCCGTCTCTCTTCCCATATGGATCAAACGGATCCACAAAGGCTATGATCTGCTGTTCTCAGATATCTGATGCAAGGGAAGTTACAACCGGTCTCTCAAGCACACGATCGCTCTCCAAAACTCTGTCTTTTCTCGAACAAGTCAAAATGTCTTCTGCCTCTCTCTATCTCTCTCTCTCTCACAACAAAACAAACTCCAACATACCACACACAAAAGGCCCTAAACGGCGTTTCCGAAAAGTACAAAACGATCTATTCTTTATTGACTGACGTGATTTGTTCAACAATTAGGGTGGGCGTTCTCTGACAATTACCATGGCCTTGTACAAATGCTGTTGCGTAAGATAGAAGGGCTTTTTTAACACTCCACGAACGCCTTAGCTCTAAGTGGCTGAGTAAAGTCTACGAGGGACTGACTGACACGTTATTGGTTAAAACTTTCGGACGATTTCATTTAGGCCTATGGCGGGGTGCACAGGTATATACAAAATAAAACAATAATGAGCGGAACGCGGTAAACACATGATCGGCAAAAAATAATTATATACTTGTCGGTTGCACTGTAACATCCTGTAACACTCAAGGTAGTTGTTGCATCAATTAATCTGCGATTGCGAAGATCGACAAGGAAATTGAAGTAGGCTATGGCAGAAAATCAGCGCCTATGCTTGCATGTTGGACATCAGCAACAATGAAAACACAGCGGCATGGCCGCCGGAGTCCAATGTCCAGAGTCAAAGATCTTTCTCCGTAAGTAGCAGTGGTTGAGGAATTGGCTGCTTGAAGATCTTGACCGGGACGACGATGAGCATGCTCACGAGAGGAACATGGTATGACGCTTACCTCTGCTGCTGTGTCGATGAGAAATTGCTGTTTTGTTGCTCTGTCCGTAACGTAGAATAGGCGACTAGACAAGGACGGGCCAGCAGAGTTTATCGCCGCTAGTTGCTACCTTGGCCGTTTCTCGAGGTTGAGGAGGCAGGTGTAGTGTAGGAGTAGGCTTTGGTGCACTTATGGGCATTAGCACCAACTTGCGATGATACCAGCAGACCGTATGAGGATATGGACTGCTGGTGCGGCTACGACTGCTGCTTCGAAGCTGATATCGACTGGACAAGGCGGAAACTTGTGCTTGTAGCTGGGCTGTTTGATAAGTCAGTGTTTGAAATGGCGTAGTCTGATGTGGTAAATTCTCCACACAATACATTTATAACTGATACATTTTAAAGAAGAAGATTTTAAACAATACATTTATAACCGGTCCATTCAGTTCATTTGGAAAATCAAATGATGCCTTGCATCAGGTCATTCTTAAAACCCTATATGTATATAAATCAGAAAAAAGTGGGTTTTTTTAATGCGTGTTCGAGATTATTTTCAAGTTTTGGTAAAAAAAAATTACCCTTCACCCTTCAAATTTTTTAAAGACATGCTGTTATAATTTATAAGGACTCATTAAAGGCAATAGTGAAAGGGGCGGATCCAGGGGGGCCTGCTAGGATTAGTTGTACATATTGCAAAATTATTATTGGGATCTGGACCACGAACTGCGACGAGCGCGCGCGAGACGAGACAAAATGGCAGCGACTAGCGAGAGGAGACCTTTGGTGTAAAATAATGCTGTAGATTGCAGCCCCCTCTGGAAAAACATCCCGGCGACGCCCATGGGCAAGTGGAAACTTCTAGTGCCGTTTTGTTCGAATTTATGCAGACGGTCTGTTATGGCCACGGCCCCATTGCTGCGAAATGAGCAAGACATATATTAACAGTGAGAGAAAGTACAATAAAATATATTATGTGAGGCGCTACACAACATTGCAACTATCGCTCTGTCACACCCGTTTAGCTGTTGCAATTTAAGTGAATCCCGTTTGGAGACCCAAACCACTTGCATAACTTGCATAAGACAGAAAGAATTCAATCAGAAAAATGATTTAAATTTCAAGAAAAATATGTACAAAATGTATTAATAGAAAATGATAATTACTTTAATTATAATTACAATTATATACAGTAAATCTAGTCAACCTGGTGAATTGTGGAATATGTAAATAAAGAAGCTAGAATTTACTTGTAGGCCTCTGTTGGAAGCTGATAGGTCCAACGTATTAAATGTTCAAAAAAATCAACCAATCAATGAAAAGTACCAAGAAAAAGGAATGATCAAGAATTAAACGGAAATACAAAATATATGCGTATATCAAATAAACTCAGATTAATAAATTAAACTTACAACTTAAGACTCTATTGTTTGCTTAATTCAAGTAAATAGATCACTAACTAATTAAACAATAAACATACAAATAAACGATAAAATATTCCGGAATATGTGCACTGTCTAACTAAATCGGCCCACCGCGGTTTTGTCGCACTAGACTGTCCTGGGTTTCGTCGAGAGTCCGGCGATCTATAGCTATCTCGATCGTCACAACTATGGTCGGACGATCTCTGCTCCAGATGAGCATCAGCTATTCAGCCAGCCACGTTCGGCGAACTTCCCGGCTGATGAGTGTCACTCGTCAGTCGGCCTGGACGTCTGTGTGGTGCGCTCGGCACCCCGACTATGTAGGTTTTATGGACCTGTCTTGTCTCATAAGCTAGTCGCTGGCCTCACATCAGCTCCGGTTTAAGTGCCGTCTACAAATAAATATTACACAATGCAACTTGCAACAATCTATCTCAAATTATCATAAATAAAACATGTCTTTTCAAGAAGACAAACGCTATATCAAAGCGATCACTCTCGATCTCATTCGTGAAGCAAATCCTCATAAAATCAATCTAGCATCACAAAATGCCTCAGAATAAATCACATCTTCTCCTGATTATCATTTTAAGAATTAAGGAGCAAACATTAAATTACAATCACACTTCTAATCTCTAGTGAAACGGATATCTCATCGTGATAAGCACAAATCAACTTAGTCACCAGACTATTCTTTTGTTCAAACCAGGTTTCCGACAATACATTTCAAAATAAATGCAATTTTTTCATAAAAATCAAAATACACCAAAATAATGAAATCAACCATACTTACAGTCAGATAGGGTCTTGGTGCCTTGGACATCTGGCCCTTCACGACCGATCCTGGTCTCAAATCAGCGAAAAAGCTGCTCAAATGTGCATCGCAATTGCGAACCAACCTCTCATTCTTTTTTCTTTCGCGGGGGTAACTCTCTCTTTCATCACATGACTACAACACTTATTTACATTACAAATAATTACAAAGACACGCACGCAAAAAACAAAAGTTTCCACGGCTTTATTCCATCAACTTATAAATATTCATATACATCGCGTACAGGCTATGGACAGTTGTGTGCGCACGTAGGTATTGTTCTTTACGTACGCCATTATACACAGACACTGAAAGTGAAAACACCAGAAAAATCAACGTAGCCGATAGCTATACTTACCTGAGGAAAGGAAAGTAAAAGAAAGAAAAGGAATTACTTGAAAATAAGGGGGAAAAGACAGAATTTGGCATCAACTGTGACACACTCTTTATCACTGACGCATTGGGCCAAGACTAGAAAAGTTGAAGCACGACGTTTATTGAAGTACGACGTTTGAAAAGTTGAAGCAATACGTTTGCTTGTCCGTTTTAGAACACCATTAGTTTATTTCGTATTACTAGCCCTGTACCAATTGTTTACTTCTTTAATAAATCCGGTTGAACAGTAAGTCATAAATAATTATACATGCACACATGACCAAATAATTTTAGTTTATTTCGTATTACTAGCCCTGTACCAATTGTTTTTGTTATTTTAACTCCTATCGTTGTACTTGTAATTGTAACTGTGTAATTGTTCTTTATTACAGTGGGGTCTCCACTCGAAAAGCTTATGCTTTTTAGAGACCTCCATCCATCCATACACAATAATTCAAATGTTAAGTAATATTATATGTACATGTGTTGGGAAAAATTAAAGATTTGATTGATTGATTGATTGATTGGATGAAAAGATTGATTGATTGGAGGAAATATTACCATCCACCCCGTGATCTCTCAATGCAGCATTTTGCAGACAGTTGGCTCAGCATATTTACAGTAATCTGTTTTGTTATGACATATTGGCATTTCTCCATGAAGCACATGAGCGGTGATATTAATTAGAGAATAAAAATGCTACATATCTGCATGATTTACCAAAAATAGTGGCTTTGACACTGACAAAGTGACCGGGTCAAAATTTACTTTTTACCTATCCAACGCGTAGGGGCGCCTTTGCCCATGATCAACAATTTCTTGTTTCACTCTTTCATCGGACTGTCCGATCTTCCCATATATATCTTTGGTGTTTTATTTCTCCATGGAGTAAGCACAAAGAAAAGCTTCCGCTTGCCAGCTGCTATTGAAACAGTTTGTTGTGGTTTTTTTCGTACAAATTGAAAAGTTTAACATTTTCGTAATAATGCATATATATAAGTTGTATTGTTACTGACAGATTTATGACATGAGGCAACACCTTTCGAGTAGATAGGGGGTGAGTACCATTGTGAACTACCTAGCCGGCCCCATGCATCTTAAAGGGAATATACATCATTTGCTTTTGCTGTAATTTTCAGAAATGGATGGAATTGGGGGGTTGGAAATATAAAGCAAATATAGTTACACTGACTTTTTGGAGGTTTTGGGTTCGAAAATGCTATAAAAACCAAGAAAAACGATCATTTTCCTGTGGTCTGGTTCCCTGACTCCATATAAGAAGAAACAGAGCAGTTTACATACATTGGGGAATTGTCAGGTCAGGGAACCAGTCTAGCTGGCTCGTACCCGTTCATAGGTTTGTAATCAATTGCAGACAAGTGCAATGGTCAATTGGGGCCAGTATTTGAAAAAAAAGCTAGTTGTTTCCAACGCTGATCGGCCGATCAGCGTTGGAAATTGATACAAAAATACCACTTTTCTTGAAAATGACAGTATACCATATACCAGGTGCCATAATTTTACAGGATGCTTTAGACTGTCATTTACCAACATCCTATTAAGGTATTTCGCAAAAACTTGGTAGTTTTATTTTCCGATGTTTGCAAATGTTGTATATTCCCTTTAATTATCGATGTCTACTTGTACCTCAGGTGGCATATCTAGTAATTTGGAAGCCGTTTTGAAGGTGAAATCTGATGTTTTTTGTTGCAAAATGTTGGTTTTTGGGACAGTGACAGGATGATGTTGTCCAGGTCGCGGTATTAGCTTGGACCCCACTATCGCCAGACCATGTCCAAATGTTAAAAAAGGCGATAAGTTGGGTCCAAGTTACTTGGACTATGCATTACCCTAGTCCTAGCCCTGGTGGACTCCCTTTCCTCCCTACGTTACGGAGGGAGTCCTGGGTAAAAAGTGCTCAAAACCGAACGAAAACATTTCTGACCGATAATTTCAATATTTTTACCTTGTTGGAGAAGCTAATTTTTACGTCGTAGTATTCTATGTGTCCTTATCTGTTGGGCCGCTGGGTTCAGGAATTCCATATGCGATGCTGACCGACCTTAATCTGGAAAATAAACTCGAAAGCAACGTTAAACTTGTACGTGTTTTTAGACTCTTTTCATCAGTTTCTCACCGCCGAGTCTATTCTAGTCGTACATGATGTACGTCTGTGCAGCGTGTAGTCTGGTTCCCTAGACCGGACAATTATTCTCGACGCTCATATCACGTCTGGTCCGGGGGCCAGACTATGCAGCATGAATATGCAGTGCGCACGCACGATTTGCTTAGTAACCACACTCATACGCACACGCACTTACTTGAAGGCGCGGTCGCTAATCCAATGACCGAGCGTGTTTTCGCGCCAGTTACCAGAAACACGTTTCGGCTTTGGTCATTGGTTGAGCGTTTTCGCGACATCGGTTGACTGGAGTGACGTCACGGTTCCAACCAAAACTAAACAAATGAGGGCGCTAGCGTGCGTACGCGCTTTCGTACGCACGTACATTGTACATGACGTACGACTCTGGGAATAAACTGATGAAAAGAGACTACAAACACGTACAAGTTTAACGCTGCTTTAGAGTTTATTTTCCTGATTAACGTCAGTCAGCATCGCATATGGAATTCCTGAACCCATCAGCCCAACAGATAAGGACACATAGAGTATGTAGGCGTGAAATAAGCTTCTATAACGAGGTAAAATATAACAAAACTCTGGTAAAAATGTTGGGTGGTTTCATGTAGAGAATTCTTGCCCTGGACGTTAGTCGTATTGCAATGAAGACTTCGTCCAACCTGGGCTACCCTAGTCCGAGCATGCCGAGTAAGTTGGACCCAACTTACATGACCTATCACCTTTTTAAAATTCGGACATGGTCTGGCGGCTATCGCCAGACCATGTCCAAATGTTAAAAAGGCGATAAGTTGGGTCCAAGTTACTCGGACTAGCATTACCCCTAGAACTATGGGTATTATGTTACTTGTAATATTACAAGTAACATAATACCCATAGTTCTAGGGGTACCCTAGCCCAGGTTGGACGAAGTCTTCATTGCATTACGACTAACGTCCAGGGTGAGAGTTCTCTACACAAGACCACTCAAAATTTGGACCAGATTTTTGTTACGTTTTACCTCGTTACAGAAGCTTATTTCACGCCTACATTTTCTCTGTGTCCTTACCTATTGGGCCGCTGGGTTCAGGAATTCCATATGTGATGCTGACCGACATTAATCAGGAAAATAAACTCTAAAGCAGCGTTAAACTTGTGCGTGTTTGTAGTCTCTTTTCATCAGTTTATTCCCAGAGTCGTACGTCATGTACAATGTACGTGCGTACGAAAGCGCGCACGCACACTAGCGCCCTCATTTGTTTAGTTTTGGTTGGAACCGTGACGTCACTCCAGCCAACCGATGTCACGAAAACGCTCAACCAATGACCAAAGCCGAAACGTGTTTCTGGTAACTGGCGCGAAAACACGCTCGGTCATTGGATTAGCGACCGCGCCTTCAAGTAAGTGCGCGTGCGTATGAGGGTGGTTACTAAGCAAAACCGCGCGTGCGCACTGCATATTCATGCTGCATAGTCTGGCCCCCGGACCAGACGTGATATGAGCGTCGAGAATAATTGTCAGGTCTAGGGAACCAGACTACATGCTGCACAGACGTACATCATGTACGACTAGAATAGACTCGGCGGTGAGAAACTGATGAAAAGAGTCTACAAACACATTCAAGTTTAACGTTGCTTTCGAGTTTATTTTCCAGATTAAGGTCGGTGAACATCGCATATGGAATTTCTGAACCCAGCAGCCCAATAGATAAGACTACATAGAATACTACGACGTAAAAATTAGCTTCTCCAACAAGGTAAAAATATTGAAAATACTGGTCATAAATTTTTTCGCCCGGTTTTGAGCACTTTATACCCTGGACTCCCTCTGTTACGTAGGGAGGAAAGGGAGTCCACCTTGGCTAGGGGTACCCATGCATGTGGCCTAGGGTAATGGTCCGAGTAACTGGCCCCGGGCCCCGTAACTTGGACCCAACTTATCGCCTTTTTAACATTCGGACTAGGCCTATCGCCAGACCATGTCCGAATGTTAAAAAGGCAATAAGTTGGGTCCAAGTTTCTCGGACTATGGACTACCTCCGTAAAAAAAGGCCACACTTGGAACATGTATCCGAAAATGTAGAACTTTGTCAAATTTTTATTTTCACATTTAGGAAAGAATGTTGCAATCGGACGCAGCCTTTTTTTCCATATATCATCTCAATGAAGGTCAGTCATTGCAAAAATAATTAAGACATGAATCTGGGACTATTTCCATTATTATGTTAGGAAATAGGCTAGCCCAGGTTGGACTCTGTTGCGTAACACGCAACGGAGTCCAGGGTATGAACGTGTGCTGCCATAGCGAAAAAAATTATAACACATTTTTTTCATATTTTTGCCTGATGGAGGAAGCTGAAATTTCGTTTACACATTCCTTGTGTCCAGAATTGTGCATGCGCTGGGTTTAGAAAAGGCAAATAAGTCCGCGGGCGACGTGTTTACTGAAAAATGAACCGCAGATCCACGCTTTCGTTGAAAACATTTTCAGTACAAACTCCCCGTGTGAAGACTTACGCGTGCGCTTGCATGCACACCCTGTCCGCAGCTGCATACGGCACGTGCGTGTACGCGTAAGTCTTCACGTGGGGAGTTCGTAATAAAAATGTTTTCAACAAAACCGTGGATCTGCGGTTTATTTTCGGTAAACACGTCGCCCGCGGACATATTTGCCTTTTCTAAACCCAGGGCATGCACAATTCTGGACACAAGGAATATGTAAATGAAATTTCAGCTTCCTCGTTCAGGTAAAAATATGTAAGAATATTTTTCGCTATGGTGGTAGAATTAATACCCTGGACGTCAGTCGTAATGTAATGAAGACGTCGTCCAACCTTGGCTTGGAAATTCTTGACTCTCCGTAGACTTTGCAGGTTGCAACATTCTTTCCCAGATGGGTCATTCCATGCCAATTCAACAGGACATGGCACCATATGTCACAGATTTTGTTCCAACTTGGTGGAAAGATTGTTCTATGGCCTAAAGCAATTTGAAGTTTTGCTTTCGACCTCGTCTTTCGAATAGCCCTAGTCTATGGCCCGCACTAGAGTAGACTCTGCAGTTTTGCTTTCGACCTCGTCTTTCGAATAGCCCTAGTCTATGGCCTGCACTGGAGTAGACTCTGCATGCAGAGTCTACTCCAGTGCGGGCCATAGACTAGGGCTATTCGAAAGACGAGGTCGAAAGCAAAACTTCAAATTGATTTCTGTTGAGGTGTTATGGTAGCATAAAGTTCAATGAACTTTGCCAAAAAAAAGGGGAAACTGACTGGCCCATAGAATGAATCGCTGACTTTAAAGACCCATATCTGGAGAGTGAAATTGATTTGGAAGCTGAATTTGGATACATGGGTACAACTAATGTACATGTAGTAGAGCAGAAATATAGGAAAATAATACCCATCATGCCTCACACCTTAATATTATGATGCGTCACATGCATTTTTTTTCAAATTTTGAAGGCCCCTTTTCTTGGAACTTTGCATAAACTTTTTTTTAATTTCAATTTTAATGTTATCTCTGACTACTATTATTGATATTTTTGTGAAAGAAAGAGCAATTGTAAATGTCTTCCCTGATTTGGGTGACCCCCAATATGGCCCGAGCCAGAAATCCGCCTTAAAATTGGCCAAAAACAAGGGGGGAAATCCCCTGTGGCTCAGGTGATATAATTTTCTAGGTTTTTTTTTTAACTTATAGTCCATCATTTGTAATTTGTGCATTTTGTTCGTTTGAAGCAACACAAGTGCTCAAAATCTAAGGAAGGGTGCTGAACAGTTAACCTGATGAAGTTTCAGCTCAGCTTCAGCTGTATGTTTCGAGAAAAACAACATTCTAGGATCTCGATTTCAAATCAAAAGTTGCTGAATCATGTTTTGAATTGGGCCTGAATTCAGCGCCCGAGACACGTTCTCACTGAGCTGATTGCAGCTACGCAATGTCGCGCACCGATCCGACGAATTATAGCAACCGCGCATGCGTGTGCATCGTGCCAACGCTTGCGCGCGCTTCGCCGATTGAAAAAAAACAACTACTAACGGAAATTTCCAACGGTGCTTCTTAAGACGCACCGTTGGAAAGGCCGCCTTTCATTGATTTCTTCATAATGACAGCTTGCCAGAAAGAATAATTTCACAGGGAGTTTAGTCCCCTTACTACATGTATCTTTCAACCAAGTATGTTTATCAACAATAAATACGCTAGTCACTTTTTGGATAGCTGCAAATGATGGACTCTGGCTTTAAGGAAAGAATGCATCTTTAAGATATATAAAAAAATTCATGTGCATCTGGCATTTTCATGAAAAATCAAATCTGCAAAAACAACCCCAAATTGGGCGACAATGTGTGTGTTAGACACACATTGTTCATGTGCAGGCAATTTTGACAGACCCCAATTCAGCTCAGAAGCATAAATGGAACTCTTTTTTTGGCTTATGTGTATCTCAGTATGCCTCTCTACCTAATGTTGGTCCAAAAACTACATGGACATCCACACAATATGTCCAAATTGTAGCCTTTATACATCCCCTTGTGTTACAAATATGTTATTTGTCAGCTTCTCAAGCCAAATTCAGCTTCCAACTCAATTTCAATCTCAAGATATGGGTCCTTAAAGTTAGCGATTTATTCTATGGGCCAGTCAGTTTCTCCTTTTTTGGCACGGGTCTAATGCTGGCCTAGCCTATTTTTATGTTAGGCCAAAAAAGAAATGAAAATTCTGCTTCGGGATTCCCTACCTACCCTACATGTATTCTGACACTAGTGACAGTCCGTACTCTATTTTTTTTATTGGAAAACGAGGAAAAAAAATACCCAAAACCATCAAATTGTACCTTTTACCCTTGATTGCACGCAGATGCCTCCATATGATCGTACACAAAAAAAGTGGCCCAAAAAAAAAAAAGCATACACAAAAAAAAGTGGCCCAAAAAAACCCCTACCTACCGGTCCCTACCCTATTTTCAAATGACATGTAATTGGAAGCAGTTTTTTTCTTGGCCTTATCCTGGTTACACCCTAACTCGTACACAGTATTTAGGTCCCAAATTTACGAGCTAACCCCAACTGTGCCACTGCGCCAACTACATGTATGGCTCATCCACAGTTGGGTACTAGTCCTGACAATAGTTTGACCATACAGTTGGGCATGTTTAACAATAGCTACCCCCATGAAGTGAACGTGGCATTGCTCCATCCTCGCGTAAATACTCTAGAAATTGTCATGTGGCACATCATTTCACAAGTATAATAAGTACTTGCATACAAAGCTTTCTGTAAATTCACGCTAGTGTCGAATCTTGCATTGCCAAGAAATTTGAGGGGAAAAAATGACCTTAACAAATTAAGAAATGTATGAGCTTAACTTTTGATTTTCTGAGGTCATGCAGTGTACGTTGGTACTCCAAGTCATGCACGGCGAAATGGTAGGAGCCGTGCAGGTCCGGGTACTCGTACAATCTTGTGCGTTGCAGTGTTCTATGCAACAAATAAGTTTTGGATGCTGAAAAAAAAACAAAGACAAAAAAAGTGTTTTTGTAGTTTGGTTCCCTGACCCTAGCTACATGTACTTCAGATGAAACAGAGCAAATTTTAACCTAAGATGTCAGGGAATTGTCAGGTCAGCAAACCAGAATAGCTGGATTGCATCTGTTCACAGATGTGTAATCGATTGCAAACGAAACTATATTTGGTGAAAGGGGGTAGTACATGTATTTGAACAAAAGTCAAGTTTTTTTCCGATAGTCGACTGACCATGTGTCTGTTGTAGTTACAAGATTGTCATGTGTAATTAACTTGCTGGTGTATAAAAAACAAAAACAAAAAGGGGCATCTGACGCAGTGCAGCAGCTTTACAATTCAGAGTTGTAATGACTCGACAATGACTCGACTCGAGTCTGACTCGAGTCACAATTTTTGGCGACTCGACTCGAGTCCCTAAGGGCAAATGACTCGACTCGAGTCACTGCGAGCAAATGACTCAACTCGACTCCAGTCTCTTATCAGAATGACTCGACTTGACTCGAGGAAGGCTAATAAGACTCTAGCAAACAAAAAGTATTCAATCAGTGTCACATTACCTTACTAAGATCTTAAAGTGATAACAGATTGTTTTCTTTTACATACCAGTACGTGTGTGAAAGCCACTAATTGAAGTGTCATGTGCTGCCTTTTTAAATAGCCATCCTGTTTTGAAATATTTGTAGTTGCCGGCCTGTAATCATACTCATGATGTCACTTGTTGATCTGGGAAAGAAGTTATTAGAGGCTTCTCGGCAGGGCCTGCAAGATGAAGTCAAGATTCTCATGGCCAATGGAGCACCATTTACAACTGATTGGGTAAGTCTTTGCCAACTTGCATTTTCCATTTAGATATTTTTAAATGCATTTTTTACAAGTACTATCAATTCATAAAATTCATACTGCAACAGTTTACATATTCCTATAGGTCAAGAGCTCTCAGCCTCTCAACTGGGTGGTCTTAAACTACCATTTAATACTGATCAGCAAAATTTAAGACTGGCTGAGAGTGCCTGCATACTGCGCTGCATACGCCAGCTACAATCAAGTGCTTGAGAACCACTGACATGATTCCATCAAAAATGTTGTGATGCATACTGCATGAAGTGTGCAACACGCACCATAGAAATGGTCTGAACATGGAGTGAAATGGTAGAACAAAATCATTGGAAGTTTAACTTTCCCACTTGGTATGGTTCCAACTTTTCCAACTTTATTTATCAAAAAAGTATTTATGAAAGGGGATAATAATGTACTGGAGTAGTTATAAAGGTGATGCTTAAATCCAATCAGGGGCCTGGCTACCGATGATACCCCCTTGTCTTTTGCTCGAGCCATTATCTGCAACCAGGCCCCACACTGCTCTTAAGCATCACGTTTATAACTACGCCATCCTACTATTATCCCCTTATAAATGCAAACCTAAGACAGTTTACCCATTCCTATTAGATGAGAGCCTGTCATGTAGGTGGTTTTAAAAGGTTGATAAAACACCAACTGGTTTTAAACACTTTTTCCCGGTGTCACATGAATTTGGACTACTATGAAATCTAGTCCATTTTAGCCTTTTATTAGTTGAATGTTCACAATCTTTAATTAAGCATGCGCAATACTACCAATGAATCTGTTAGTCCTAAATTTACACTACACCAGCACTACTGCTCTTAGCACCACATCGCACAGTACGCGTGCATGCACTTATCTCCATATAAAGAGATTTTTAGGACTAGTCACGAGTGGCACATGGAACAAACAGAGCTAGAGGGGTGTTTCACATAATGTGCAGTAAAATTTTTGAGCAAAAAGGTTCGAAAGTTATAATTTTTGACTTATTTTAACTTTTTGACTGAAATGTGTGGGAAAGAAACATTGCTGGCCGGTATTAAGCAGGTTTGTTTAAAACCGGCTGGGGGCCTGGTCGCTGATAATGGCGCATCCATTATTCTCTTTTAGGCCTCATTGTTTGAAACCAGCCAATAATAAAACAAATCACACGATGATACCGTCATCTCAATTAGAACGGATATAAAAACAAATCTCTGTCTATGTACATACAAAGTTTCAACCCAATCAAACTTGTAGTTCTCTAGATATAGGACTTTGAAAAATGTGATTGTCGATAGTTGATATCCAATCACAGCATATTATCATGGTCTAATTGTTTCATAAAATCAGCCTACACATACTTTTCCATGAGCTGATAGATACATGTACCGGTAGTTCTTTGGTTGCTGACTTCTTGTGACTGGTAATTTCTCTCTTGGTTTGGGTCGCAGGTGCATGGACTTTCATTGCGGTCATTCAATGCCAAATCAACCAATGGGTTGTCGTTAGTTGGTTCAGATGTTGTTAGAAATCAAGAATGTCATACTTCTAGGAGTCAAAAGAACAAAGTTCAAACCACAGCCCCCAGCTCCTTGCCATTTCTGAGAAATGGCCCCTTGAAGATTGGACCTTACCCCTCGGTTTTCCCCCTAGCAGGTTTATTTGTTTCGATTTGTAGTGCATTTTGTGTGTTCAAATCTTGATAAAAATGTGATACAGGGCTGCATAAGGCTACATTGGGTAAATTCAGCCCAAATCTTCAATGTCTGGCTTCAAAATCAGTGTAACCAATATCTGAAGATATGGGTCTCTCTAAATGCATGTTCATGCTGAAAGGTATGACTTTCAGATTTGTTGCTGCTATCCCCTCTGGTTCATACTACACATGCATGGATGTCAGAGATTTCATATGGACTCTGTGCACAAACGGTACATGGCCTTTATTTTTACCACATTCAAAAGCTTTACGGACACACCACATGCGTGCACTGGTTCATGTGCATACGGCGCACAGTACACAAGTTGTGAGTGTGCACAAACCTGTGTCGTCTTCGCGTGAGCATCATCATGCACTGATGGTTTTTGGAATGTTACTCACACTGGTCTCCTACAACTCTTCATTTGTAACAATTCACGGGGTACTTTTGCACAGAGCCCATATGGCACTTTGGATAATATTGATGTTTACCCCCAAAATATGGGTAAATCCCTGACAACCTCAATATAGGCCTAAATGTTAGAGTGGTCCAAATTGGTCATTGTTGGTGGCACCACGGGTTAAAAACCACCAAAGAGGTCCCCATGTCACCAGTATGGCAATCAAAATCACACTTTTAGTTTAAAGAAAATAAAAATAAGGGAATAAATGTGTGCTCCGGAGGTTTTTATCACTCTGTTTAAGACCGTTTAGGGCGAGGGTAATTATCAGTAATAAGTAGTTAAGTCTGTCACGAGCCAATATGGCCATCACGCCGGCATTTATCTCTGGTTTCAGTGGCATGAAACGACTGAGAATATTTCTAATGGATGGGATACTAGTCCATCGCAGGTTTCTCCCCAGCTAATGCCGGTACCCGTTTATACTCCTGGGTGGAGAGAGGCAAGTGGACGTGAAGAGGCTTGCCCAAGGACACAACATATGACCAGCAGCTGGAATTGAATCCCACCTCAGATTGTGGGTCACAGACCCTAAACCACTAGGCCACACTCCCCAAATGAGTGGTGTTTTGCCTAATTTCACTGAAAATGCATCAGCCATCAGCAGAATATAATGCAGAATTTATATGTAGTACTACATATGAAACTCATTTGTCTGGACTTTTTTGCCCATTGGTTACCACAGAGCTGTTGAAGGTTATGTTTTTTTTCATTTGCTACAGCTTGGCACATCCCCCCTTCACCTTGCTGCACATGCTGGTCATGTACCCACTGCTGAAGTCCTTCTTAAAGCTGGAGTTAGTCGTGATGCCAGGACAAAGGTTGACCGGACACCTCTACACTTGGCTTCCCAAGAAGGTCATAAAGAAATTGTTCAGTTACTGATTGAACATGGTGCTGATATCAATGCTAAAGACATGGTAAGTGTTTTCATTTTCATGAGATTAGGTACAGGTTAATACAAATCGGCAATTACGGACCATTAGAATTACAAATGTATGTAGACATTTAGAAGACACGTATCCTTATCTAACTTTGCATGGACAAAGACTATGAGCATACTAAATTTTGCATCTAAAATTGAAGTCGTGATGATGCCAAAAGTTAAAGGTGAAATCTAGAAAACAAGTTAAAACTTTTTATTATAGAAATTAATATAGAAAATAACTTTTAACATGAATATATAGACATTAAAGCGATAAAGAAATCATAAGTATTTTTTTAAGAGTTTGTTTGTATTGTTGAACTGTTGACAATCTTTCTATAAATCTTGTGGGAAAAAAATGCACAATTCTCAATGCCTGTTGGATGGCCCGGCTCCTCACCATTTTGAAATTGTTGGAATGATTTGCAAAGAATGATTACCCCTCCTCACCCTTATACTTACATGTACACTTATTAGTAGGTTCACCTATCTTAGCTTTATCTGAAGCCCATTTCAAATTGTCCCCTCCGTGATTATCATGGTCATGATTGATATGGCTGCTTCCATCAAACAGTCACAAATCAGCATTCTTGAGAACATTGAGATTTTCAGTTGACAAGTTTCAGGGTCCATGGTGTTAAACAGGCACATGCTACAGGTGTCCATAATCAAATGAGAGAACATGCATCTTCACATGTACCTTATGTTGTAATGGGTTGGATATCACTTTTACCTTGAAACCAATGCATTCAAATTTGCAGTTCTTTTTGTTTTGTGTGCATAATAAACTTTCGTTTGTCATATGCATGGAGCAAAGTTCTCTGTATGGATTTTTTTAGTGAACTTAACAGGTGTGATGTTTTGAACTCTTCTCACATTTAGCTTAAAATGACACCACTGCACTGGGCAGTTGAGCGACTGCATGCTCCTGTCATCAAATTATTACTGGAAAATGGCGCAGGTTTGGACATTGTAAACAAGGTAAGTAGTGTTGACAAAGTGCTGGTTTTCAACTGACTCGATGCTTGAAAAAAGTTTTTCTTAAAATGAATTTACCGATGACTAACCGATCCAGTGACTGGTGAATCCAGGTTTTCCAGAGGGAGATGGTGTGTTGAAGTCCAAGAATGTTCAAAGGGGTAGATGAGGCCTTGCAGTCAACCTATCAAAAGTCAAAGGTCCAAAGGAATGAATCTACATTTTCAATGTTGAGTGATTATTCAGGAAAATTTGGATTTTTTTTCTGTAAATACATGTAATTAACATTGGTCAGTTGAAAGAAGAGATCCCACCCCCTCGTTAAAATAAAAGATACAGGTTCAAACTTTGTAAGTAGAAAAGAATAATAAGTTTGTTGTAGAGCACGGACAGTAAATCTTCAGTCACTCTTCAGTACAGTTAGTTGACCAACCATGCAAAGGCACAGTTACATAAAAGCATGGCAATTTATTACCTTTGATAGTTATTTTCATTTAATTATCTAGTTTGAGAAGACACCATTGGACATAGCTTCAGATCACCATCATCAAGAGGTCATCGCCTTATTACAATTGGCTCAGGTGAGATTGTTCATGAATTGAGAATATCCAAGTTTGAAATGACAACTGTCGGGTTCACTGTTAAAGGGTCACTACCAACACTTAAGTGTTTGTTAATATGCAAGAGTGTTCCACACCTCAGTACAGGTTTTGTTTGTCATGCATCAAAGAAAATCTGTGTCGAGTTTTAGGTTGAACACTTGGCAGACTAAAATGTATGCACATGATGAGTTGCTTCATTAAAGCATGAAAAACATTTAAAAATATTAAATGTTATATACATAAATAATAAAATTGAGAAGAAAAGTTTCACCAGCAGCCCGTACTGCATCAATCAGGGAGTGTGTCAAATTTTTAAAGTACGGGGCCCCTGCAGGAATGTAAACCCACAGATTTATCATGTTTTTGCACTCCGGTGCATCATTTTATTTTAAGGAGGGTGACTGGCTCTCCTCAGTAATTTTCTGTCAGTATTATACTTTTTATTGATTTTTCCAGCTATTTTCATTACGTGAGAGCCCAGTCACTATTGAACAGAATTTAGATGTGCAATAAAAGGTTTTTTAATTGACTCGTAATACCTTTACCACTAAAAAAATAGCTAATGTCCAGTCATATGAAATGTTTTCTGCAACTTTTTGTGTTGTCAGGGAGTGACTAGTGAGGTGACTATAGAGGAAGCGCCGTGTGTATACATCACAACAGCAGACTGTGATTCATCAATTACTAGCAGTTCCACTCCAGCATCTACTGCACTGCAGAACTTTGTCACGGCAGCAGCAAAGGCCAAGTCTAAGGCTAATTGCAAAGGTAGGAATTAACCTCTCACAAATGTTTTATACGTACATGTATTCTTGTTGCAATTTAAAAGTCGATGCTTTATTAATAATTTGGATCAAGAAGTTTATAGCTAATTAATATTTTATATTATTAGATTCATTTTGTCTGATGAACCAAATAAAACACTAGCGACGGTCTGAGGTAGACTTGTATTTGAGTCACCAAACATCAAGCCGAGTTCAAGTCACCCTTCCCAATGTCCGAGTCCAAGTACCAAGTCATACAGGTACAGTCTAAGTCCGAGTACGTGTCACAAAGGTTGAGTGCAAGTCACGAGTCACCTTAAATATACATGTACATTGGAAAACATTTTTGAGGTACTGTTAAAACCTCACAGTGTAAATGGTTCCATTTTTTCACAGCTTTTCTCTAATTTAATGAACTGGGAATCCATGTAAAACCATTTCTCAATTATTACTCGATTATTTGATATTATTTTGATATCGATATTGCCGATATTAATTTTGTAATCGTATCAAAATATCATAATTTTTGATATTGAGGATTAATATCGAAAATCTTCAAAATAAATCTCCCGTTTGTGTTTTTGCTTTGATTTTAACTCAGACAGAATCCCTGTGCTCGGACAGAAGCTCCGTTGATATCAGCATTTTTGATCTGTTAAACTCTATTTGTATCATTAGAAACACATTGAAATGATGTTCATGCTAGGCACGCAGATGGTGGTGGGCTGAAGTGCTTTGCAAACATCTTCACATGTGTATTCCAATTTTCCTAAAGCTTCAAGTTTTTTTTAAATGAAAATTTGTAAGATTCTATATTATTGTCAGCAGTACATTTATTATGAAAAGTTATCATGAACATTTACGTACCTAATTCATTAACATGAGTGACGACGTAGACGGTAGAGTCATGTATTATTGCAGATTGAATGATAAAAATCGTTCAAAAATGGGTGAAAAGAGGATAAAAATACATGTTTTAATGAAACGTTGAAAAACGTTTGTTTCTTTTTTATTGAGAAATAAAACATGACATTTACACAGTGAGGTTTGATCACACCACAACATGTACAATCTACAATCATACTCCACCTAGGCCCATACTTGACAAGCTGTGCTTCTTATGGACCCCCTCCATTTCCAAACTTTATTGCCTTTCTAATTATTTTTTCTTTCCCACTGCAATATGTATAATGTTATCCATACTCTCTGTTTTGTTGTTTGGAATTGGAAATGAAGTTAATTTAAGTAAGTACATCATATACATCCTAGAGGCAAATGTTGAGTAAGAAGTACATACATGTATGTCCAATTTCTTTGAGGAAGTCTAATTTTAACCCTGTCAAATCATCTCCCATGATGATCGTTTGTTTGGTTCAGTAGATGATGTTGTATTTTTATTTCTTTTTCTCATTACACAGTGGTCACTAAAGTACCCACAACAGCAAGTTCTACATCAGTGCTAGCAACATTAGCAGCTTTAGCGGAGGCCTCTTCACCCCTCAACAAACCATGTAATTATTGCAATCATTAAAGCTGAATGTCCTATCAAATGCATACAGATGTGTAATAGGCAAGTCCAGTTCCTTTATTTGATGCAAAAATCCCCAAAACCTTTTGACAAAAATTATAGGGCAACAAGAAATGTTTTTGACTGCTACATGGCATGCAAAACAGTCATGTAAACCACAAAAGTTAATTGTCAGACATTAGCAAAATGGTAGCCTAGCTGGCAACATATAGGACGGAAACTGGAAAGCGCCAGTCAGTAGATATTGTGGAGGTTACAAACCAGTTTGAAATCAGATTGCTCCGCTTCAGCAATGTTCAATTAATCACTTTAAAATGGAGCCAGAAACCAACTCAGAAGAAATCAGTTCACATTTGTTTTCCACACAATAATATTGCATCAGAAATATGGCTCATTGTGTAGTTTTCTGGTTAATTATTCACAGCACCCACCAGCAGTAGGAGCAACTCTCTCTATGGTACAAGTAGTGAATCACTTCAGATGTACACACTAACAGAAGCTGGGAAGTTAGCCATGCAGTGGAAGAAATCAAGCAATGATGAGAACCAAAAGCAGGTAAAGAGAAATGAAAGAATAAAGCCAGTGGCGGCGCTACGGGGGGGCATGGGGTATCATTTGTTATACATCATTCTACGGTTGGATACATTACTCATGAGGCCAAAAAAAATAGTTTTGCTTCCGATTACATGGCATTTGCAAATAGGTTAAATAGGTAGGGATTTTTTTTTGCAAATTTGTTTTGTGTATTTTCATATGGAGGCTGCTGCGTGTAGTCAAAAAAGGTAGAAATTGGTGGTTTTGGGTGTTTTTTTCTCATTTTACCAATAAAAAAATTAGGGTAGGGGCTGTCAGAATAGGGTAGGTAGGGAAACTGGAAATAGAAATGTTTTTTTTTGGTCTTAATAAAAACGACTGCACTTCTAAGTTTCCAGACCATTAGTGAGGTACCTTAGTAACAAAAATGCCAAGGATCGTTACACGGTGGACAAAAGCACCATTTTTTTCACCAAAGCATCTCCATGTATACCTTTTAAAGAAAAGGTAGGATACAAAAATTGGATGATGGGAAGGGCAATATATGACGTCATAAGTCATCAGCTAATTATTACATGAAAAAAATATGAATTGATATTTTCAGAACTGCAAGCATCACAACAAATATGGTATCAAATGAAAGGGGACAACAAGATCTTTCGTTTGAGTGGTATGTCAGTGGGATGGAATGTAGTGAAGGATTTTTTTGGTCAAAACAAAACTTTTTCGGTCAAAAAACTTTTTTTGGGTGCTAAAATCATGGATTTGGGGTAATAATTCTGGCACCTTGTCTTAACATGCAAACCGTAAGTGGTATCGTGGTTGTTTTTTTTAAGTCTGAGAGAATGGTTCAAATTCTCTGCCCAAAAAAGTTTTTGTAATTTATTATTTATATCTTAAATGTTTAAACTTATTCCAAAGATAGGGGGACAAAAAAAACGTAACATAAGTTTACAGTCGGGTGCCCATCCGAGTGTATCTCAGGTACAGATTCATCACGTGGTACGTTGTCGAGCTTGGCGGGGGTGGGCAATCTGCCGAGTGCATCTGAGATCACCATCATAGCACCAGGTTTGTAGACATCGTTG